AAGAAAGAAAGAAAGAAAGAAAGAAAGAAAGAGAGAGAGAGAGAGAAAGAAAGAAAGAAAAAGAAAGAAAGGAGCTTGGTGCTCACATACGTCTGTTTTGGGAATAAGACACCCCCTGCCAAGAGTTCCTATTCCAACTTGAATGTACTACATTAATGAGAATAGCCCATTCCTTTTAGTCTTCATAATAACCCTTCGAAGGATATATCTTTTATAATTTTACCCATGGAAAAACGGGCTCTAGGAATTAACGTTGCTGATTTAGAAGAGTTAGAGTCAGAATTTGAACCTGCGCCAGTCTGGCTCGATAAACCCTTGGCCTGTTCTACTGCTTTAATCGCCCTGTCCTAAACATATCAAGCTCAGTGTGCTTTAGAAGCCCCCAGATGCTTGCTCTGTGTGAAGCAAAGAATTAGGTCAGCTTCGTGGGGCCCAGTGTCCCCAGGCGGAGCCTTGGAGAAGCAGGGAGGCGAACCCACGCTTTTGACTTGAGAACGGGTTCTCAGTGCAAAGACCAAAGGCAGGCACCGTCCCTGGTTGTTCCTCACAAACCCAGGCCTTGTCTACGCCTCCTGATCCAAATGGTGCAAGTGGCTTTTCGAGGTGGGGATGCTTGCTCCACACACGCTGTGTGGTGCCGGGGCCGGGGGATGCGTGCGCTTACCAGCCTGTCATATTAAAGTCCCTGTAGAGCATCTTCTTCCCGAGCTCTTTTCTCTGTACCCTCCTTGGAAACTCCAAATGTGTGAACTCATTTCCCAGCAAGTGAGGCTGCATGAATGCCTAATAGCAAAAAGAAAAGGAGAAAAACACACACACACGTATTTAGAGGGAAGAAAAATGAGACTCCAGTATGTTGCATATTGAGACAGGCCATATTTCAAAAACAAGAACATCGTCATGTATTTTAAGGGAAGTAAACAGATTTTAGAAACTAAATACTAATAGAAGATGAGCAAATATGAAAGGAGATACCTAGAGAAACATAGAATAAACTTTGCTTAGCATGGTCTTTTTGCCTCAGAATAACCGCTTTTGCTTAGATTTTACCCCTGACATGCTTTGAATCTTTTAGACATAGATAAATTTCCAATAGGCAGGTTTTAGGAAGGTTCAGACATTCTACTGCAGGCCAAGCAGCGTCCACCCTCTCGGCAAATCTCCATCAGCTGCAAGACAGGGACAACCCAACAGCCCAACCATTCAATTTATGGTTTGACCTAATAATCTCTAAGAATCTTTCAGGACCCCTAGGTGGCTGAAGCCATAGAAATGATAATAGACCACACCTTTTTGATAAGGAGTTTGTGGATTGCAAAGTCTGTCAAGTCTCTTGCAGGAAAATCCCCTCCCTTTGTCTCCTCCCATCTAGCCCACCACCATGGCAGCAATCATGTGACTTTCCTACCCATCTGCCTACTGTCCAGTTCCTGAAGTCAGAACCTGTGCTTACCTGCCCCTTCTTGATGATGTGGAGCAGAACACCATCCAATCACCTTAATGACCTTCCCTCATCACAGGGAAAGGTTAAAAGGACTTAACCATGAGTAGCCATTTGCCATTGCTTTACTAGACACTGGCGTGGCCATTCACTCTTTGAGTTATGGCCATGACCATGTTTCCTGGCTTTGGTTCCCTTTCCTACCTTGGGGAGGTGAATCTTCTCTCTCTCTCTCTCTCTCTCTCTCTCTCTCTCTCTAATTTACTTGTAAATAAACTACATTTTCTAATCTAACTTCTGTGCAATTCTTTGTATCTTTCATGAGACATCAGATCACACCCCAGACACCCCACACTCCCAGTGGGCCTGACCTAACATTCTGGGGGCCCTCCTGGGAGTATGCTCTAACAAAATAAAAATCATGAGTTTATAAAGGGATGTAACTTTTTCATTTATTATGATAAATTCATTGTAACCAAATGTACAGCTCGAGGCATAAGAAAGAGCAATTGAGCTTCCCCAAAGACTCACTGTTTAATTTTGTTTTGTCTTTGAGTCGGGGTCTCACTCTGTCACCCAGGCTAGAGTGTAGCACCATCATGGCTCACCACAGCCTTGACCTCCTTCTGCCTCAGTCTCCTGAGTGACTGGGACTACAGGCATGCACCACCATGCCTAGCGATTTTTTTTTTTTTGTAGAGACAAGGTCTCAGTATGTTGCTCAGGCTGGTCTCGAACTCCTGGGGTCAAGGGATCCTCCCGTCTTGGCCTCCCAAAGTGGTAGGATTACAGGCCTGAGTCACTGTGGCCAGCCTTCGGTTTTTAAATTTAAATCCAAGATGGTTTTGCTCTTTGGAAGGGTATGTTGGTGAGACAAAAGGCGAAAAGTCTCACCCTAATGCTTCCCCACGTGGCTTTCTCTGCTAGCATCTCACCTGCTTCCGTACTTATCCTGGCGTTGCCTTTGAGAACTGCCTGTGGTCTCCAAGTGTACACCATGGCCTGAAGGCGTGGGCTTGGCTAGAGACACCAGACAGGAGTTTGCTGCTGAGTTCTCTGCTGGACGCCCTCCAGCTCACTCTGCCGTGATTGGAAGACTATTCCAGGGCAGACGGATTCTACCCTCTCCCACAGCCCTGCTCACACCTACAAAAAGTCTTGAGCCACTTAGGGAATTGCTTCCAGACAACAAACAGCCTCATTGTCACATTCTAAATTCAAACCTTGTTGTTCAAAAAAACAAACGGCCTCATTGTCACTTTCTAAATTCAAACCTAGCTGTCTAAGAGAGGAACCGCACAGAGGCTGCCCGCTGGAGGTTGCCCTCACTGGAGGCCAGCTGACCCCAGAGCTTCACACTGGAGCCTACACCTGCTTGTGGGCAGCGTGGAGGAATGTCTTCTCTCTGTTCCAGCAGGGAACAGAGTGGGCGTAGCAAGTCACAGGCCAGCACTGTGGAGTGGCAGGGGGTCGTTACCACAGGACAGATGGCCTTGTCCTCAGCTTACTGAGAATCAGTCTCTCCTACAGTCTCCTGCCCAGGACCTGAGGCCGAGAGATCTCTCACTGTTCTCCCCTGGGCCTGGGGGCATTCATCAGAAGGAGTCACCCGAAGCACGGTTTGTCAGGAACCAAAGGGAGCAAGCTAGATGGTCACCAGGCTGGTGGGTAGATTTGGCTGGATATGGAAATCCGAGCAGGCGTGGGGACAGGACAGCACGATGAGGGTGAGGAGGGGACTTGTGCTTCCTGCCTGCTGTGGGGACTCTGGATCACTTCGAGGGGCTCTGAAACCCCTGCTGGGGTTGAGGTTTGCAAGATGACTTCAACATGGGGCTTTATGGAGAGTTCTCCGGGAAGGAGGGATAAAGGGAACTACGACTTAATAGGGCCATTGGGTGGGATGGGCTTGGGTCTGATCCAGGCTCTGCATTTATAAGCTGTGATTTTAGCAGGCTATTTAGTTCCTTGGGTCTCTGTTTCTTTATCTATAAAATGAGATTAATGATATATTTATCTCATTCTGCCTTTTCCGTAATGAAATGTCTATAATGCACTTATTTCGGTAGTCTCTGCTTATAAAAATATCACATCCATCTAGTGATCATTGGGTCCTATTATATCCTGAGTGCGACACTCAGTGCTTTGTGAATTCTCATCTCACCCTCCCAGCAACCTTGTGAACAAAACTGGCTACATCAGTTGTGGGGGCCCAGTGTAACACAAAAGCACAGAGTCTCTGCTCAAAATTAAGGACTTTCAGATGGGACAGCAGAGCACTGACCCAAGCGCAGGGCCCCATCAACTGCACAAGTCAGAGGCCCATGAGACAGGCACTATCTCATTCCTCTTTTATTTTGGTCCATGAAAACTAAGGAACAGAGGTCTAAGGAGTTGAGGAACAGCGTATCTGCTATGTGCCTTTTATGATCTTTGAAATTGTATCAGCATGGAGTTCTTTTTGTCTATCCCCTGCTCCTCAAGCTGGAGTAACATGGATGTAGGGGCTGCCACATGCCAGCCCTATAAAAGGCACGTAATCCACCTCATCTTACTCCCCAACGATCTTACAGAGCATGAGTCAGAGACTCAATTTACAAACGAGGAAACCAAGTTTCAGAGAGGTTGAGACATCGAGCCCAAGGTCATCAGTCAAGCCTGGGCAATTCTAGAGTCTGAGCTTCACATCACGCTTATTTATAACCCTGTTCCAACCCTATGTGGGACCTTTAACCTAGACACACATTTTTATAAAAGACAGTGAGGCGGCCACACAAGGGCCGCTGTCCTTTCCTCCTAGACCGTGCAAAGTCTGAATCAGAAAATTTAGTTAAAAACACACACACACACAAACACATCCATACATAGTGTGGCCACAAGGATGTTTCTGACATTATTTATCACACCAAATGAAGAAATCATTTAAGAATATGTGTGATTAAATAAACTAGCATGAATCCAAACAAGAGAATACGGTGTCATTTGCAAGGATGTTACATCGAATGTACAATGACACAGAGTTAATTTTATTGTGAATTAACAGGTCATCAAACCATATGTGTACGAACTTATGTGTGTTGTGTCTTATATGCCCAGATCAATATATAAGATATACATATGTATACAGATGTTGCTCCATCCAGATAAACCCATTTGATGTTGAAAAGATCGTAAGTTGAAAAGATCTTTAAGTTGAAAATATTGTAAGTTGAAATGCATTTGATATGCCCAACTACAGAACTACATGGTTTAGCCTACCTTTAATGTGCTTGAGGCAAAATCATCTGGCAACACAGGGCACTGTAGAATATGTGTTGATGACCCTAACACTAACCCAGCATTCTGAGAGAGTATCATACCACATATCCTTATCCTGGAAAAAGATGCAAATTCAAAGTGTGGCTTCTATTGAATGCATCTTGCTTTCATATCATCATAAAGTAAAAAAAAAAAAAAATCATAAGTCAAACCATCAGAAGTCAGGGACTATCTGTATATACATGTGTGTGTCAGGGTGTGAATGTGTTCCCCCAAATTCATGTGTGGAAATGTAGCCCCCAATGCAACACTGTTGGGAGGTAGGCCCTTGGGGGAAGTGCTTAGGTTATAAACCCCCGAATTGATTAATGCTGCTATAAAAGAGGGGTTGGAAGAGTGGGTTCACCCTGTCTTGCCCTTCTACCTTCTATCATGTAAGGACCAGCAAGAAGGTTCTCAACAGATGCTGGCATCTTGATCTTGGACTTCCCAGTCTTGGGTACCAGTCTGTGGTGTTTTGTTATAGGAGCACAAAACAGACTAAGTGTGTGTGTGTGTGTGTGTGTGTGTGTAAATACACAGGGGGTGCCAAAAATATATATGTACACATTTTAAGAAAGGAAAAAAATGTAATAAAATTGTAATACTGTCCTGCCTGTCACATGGTGATGCTAGCATTCATTTCATTAATGCCATCTTTTGAACGAACATCATACTACACATTGCCACTGTAATTCATTTCAGTTTCAAAAAGTAATACATAGATAATATCTCTTAAAATGTGTATTTTTTTTTTTTTGAGTTGGAGTCTCACTCTGTCGCCCAGACTGGAGTGCAGTGGCACACTCCTGGCCACCGCAGCCTCGATCTGCTGGGCACTGGCAATCCTTCCGCCTCAGCCTTCCAAGTAGCTGGAACTACAGGCGCGTGCTACCACACCTGGCTCATTTTTGATTTATTGTAGAGATGAGGTCTCACCAAGTTGCCCGGGCAGGTCTCGAACCTGTGGGCCAGGCAATCCACTCACCTCGGCCTCCCAAAGTGCTGGGATTACAGGCTGAACCACCGAGCCCAGCCATGTGTA